TGATGTATGAATATTTCAAAACAATTTTGTGTAAAAAGTGTATTATGATACTTGAATAGATGTTCTAGATTCATTTAATAACCGTCGCCTTTCATCTTGCGCACACGCGTACCTTTAGAAAAGATAAAAATAGTTATAACTCTCAAAAACCAAAATGCGTCAATGAAATTTTAAATGAATTTCTTAGTTTGTCGCGTCGTAATTTGTATTTCTATTATAGCAGGACCGCTTGCAGGATTTAATGAGTGTCTCGGTGTCTGCTTCAGAGTTGATTTGTGAATTTGCAAGTTACAGAAATTAAAAATTGTATTGAAAAAAATGATTGTTGAGATCTCGTTTATTCGTAGTTGTATGCCTTAAACTGGTTATAACAGGTGCTGTACTATATCAAACAATGCTAAATTGCAAAAAATTAACTGCAATTTGATTGGCTGAAACTCCATCTTGTGACTATCGTGGTGCAAATCAGTTGAGTCTTGAGGGTTAAGGTACATAAAATTGCTTGTGCTTTTTTAGCTTCGTTGATAAGAGTACCTTGGATGGGTCTTTCTCAGATTTGTTCATTTCATGTCAAAATCTCAAATCTCTATTTTTGTGAAAATTTTGGTAAGTGATATTTTCGACTTCTTGTTAAAAACCACAAGTCTGATTGCTTTGTTACTATACATATTGTTCATTTTCTAATATCCTCAGTTCTTCAATTGAAATGTGCATTGCTAACAGCGGAGCTGTCTCGGCCAACAGGCTGCTTGTTTGCTTTAACTAGTGCAAATATACCAAAGTTAACTTTCACATTCACAAAATGTGCCCACATAATTTTCCACACTCTTCAAAAATGTTAACACCTTTATAACTATTGACAAGCTGTGAAAGCATGGTATTCAGAAAGTTAGTGTCGTGGAGGTGTGCTTTCTGATTTGGTTGCTTGTATGCATGTGATGTAACCAAGCCTTGAAACTTAGTCTGTTGATATCTGCTTGTGTAGCCAGTGCTTCCTAAGAGTCCAATTTGAATCTTTGCATGGTAATGTCATGTTTTGCATACCAAAAATGTGCTCAACAGTTGCCAAAGTTCTGGAAGAGTGCCAGTAACCTGCTTTTGTCTTGCGGGTATGTGAAATTGACAGGAAGTGTGTGCCTAGAACAAGCTGGAAACAAAGTGTTGAAATTATGCTGTTTTGGTAACAAAAAATTTATAATGCATTATACCAGAGGTACATTACTTGGGGTTTGCAACTCTCATAGTACTGTATGGTGACATGTCAAGATCCCATTCAAGTCTCTTCTCGTTGATAGCGAGACTGAGGCTACGACCTTCTGATATGATATATATCAATGGTCAAGGTTTGTAATGAAAAAATAAAACTTTTCTTGCCACTATCATAGTGAAAAATGGAATACATCGAAAATGTACAGAAAATATAGTTCTCGTAATCCATATATCGTGGGCAGCTATTTTGATCCATCTGGACATCCTCGGGCATGCGCATTTGCATTTTTCTGAGTTGGAACACTTATGCGAGAGCGAGATTGTAACTGGATCTTGGTATCTGTCACCGTAGTTGCAAACCCCAAGTAATATACCTCTGATTATACCACAGTCGCTCAACAGTGTTGAGGCTGCTTTTCATTTTGAGAGTGCTCTTGTTCCTCAAACAAAGCTCCCTAACTCATTTACAAAATTCTCTTAACCTTTACATCTTTTTCTGAACTTTTTTCTTACATTTTTCAATTTTTTCTAAAGGAAAAGTGCAGACTATAAACCAAACTATTTTGTGAATTTGCGATGAAAAAAAAAAAAAGGAACTGGTTGTGAAAAGGTTAGAAGACTGTTTAAATTCATATTCTGCTAACTACTTTTGAATAATTCTGAAGATTAAAGACTGTTTGTGTTATATTGGAGTCGTGGTGAAATTTAAATCGTAATTCTAAACATTGGCGAATCTAATTATTTCCACCTGTGCAATTCATGTCTATTCATCATGTTACAACCAATAAATCCAAAAGTGTTTTGTAGTGTACCTACATGGCATCTAGAATTAATGCTACTATTTGAAAACTATTGCCATGTGGGTCTTAAATTTAATGCTACCCCAAAGTAAAAATGTTGTATTCAGATAACTTGGACTTGTAGATTGGTGTGCGTGCGTGCGTGCGTGCATGCATGCATGCATGCATGCGTTCTCCACTTTTATTTCGGACATGCCTTGTCTGATTACCTGCATCTTTGATTACATTCGCACATTCATTTGTTTCATGGTCTAAATTCAAAATGGCGGCCATTTTTGTGCCAAAAGTTCATTAAAATCTGACAATAGACAGAAGTGGATGACAGTCACTTTGTTTTTCAGATCTGATTTAAAGGAACGATTGCCAGCCATTTTGTTTTAATGAATGCTGTTCCAGAGTCCTATCTTGCTTTGCCTTATGTTTTGATCAATTATGTCGCACATATGCAGATGTAATAGTTTGATGTTTAGATTCAACATTTTTAGTGTTAAAAATTCATCAAATCGAGCATTTCTGCTATTCCAGGACTAGATCTGTATGAATAGATTTCATCCAACCTTAGTACACACATTGGACATTACATGTATATGACTCAGATGCAGCACATCATATTGTTTTTCAGATAGATTTCAAAATGGTAGATATTTCTGACAAGTTTTAACTGATTATTTGTAAAGTTCATGCATCTGTTCCACAATCCAATTCAAAATGGCGACATGTCATCCATTTTAAATTCTCCCACAAACTCGGATTAAAAATGGCAGACTGATTTCAGTTTTGTTACCTTGCCTGATCATTAGACGAACGGAAAGATATATACGAAGAGAAAATCTTTGTCAAACTTTAATAGTTACTGTCTCCTGTCAACCATAGCCCATCCTACTATGATATGATTGATTAAAACGGCAAAGGATTCCCTAAGTGCCTTAAACATAGCTCATAACATGGAGCTATACCAAAAAAGTCTTTTCAGCGAAAATTAATTCC